TCTGCAACAGGGTCACTGCCTGACCACGGGCAAGTCACCTCATTTCTCTGTCATTCAGTTTTTCACCTGTAAAAAGGGGATAATAATAGTCCCGGGCTTTACAGGGGTGAACTGAGGACAACTTGCCTGCTCTTTAAGCAAGGTGTTTAGAGGGTAACTTCAAAGTAAAGCTAATAAACACGAAAATACAAGTCACCCTAGCAAAGCTCTGCCTGTGCATTTATAGTGGCTTGGGAAAACCATTTATATTTGTTACATTTTTCTGACACAGTTCTTCACTTTCCTGCTGCAGACCTTCATGAAAAACAGGTTTTACGTTGCTACCTGCAGCAGTCAGCAAGGGACAAAAGGTTAAATAGCTCCTCTGATTAGGGGGGGGAGGAAAAGAGCCTCTTTTGGAGCAACATCTTGAGGTGACAGAAGCCTGGCATTGATTCTAGGTAGTTGCCCCCCAAAAATTACAACGTATGGGTGAAAACAACAGCAGAGTTCCCCTGAGAAGGAACCTGATGGTGCTGGTCTTTCTTCCCCAAATGCATTGACACGAGTGGAATTCCCACAAGCCCAAGGGATGAGACAGACCTTGGGTGTGCCGAGGCACCACGGGTACCCCCAGGCTACGGAGGAGGCCCCATGCGGGAGGCTGCTAGCTGGGGCACCCCCCTTCAATGCCCAAAATTTTTTTGGGGCAGCGCAGGGTTGGGTGGGGGGAGTCCAGGAGTTTCACTCGGTGGATGCGCGGTGCAGAGACAGGCAGAGATACTCCCATCAGCTCGGAGGGAGCTGGCCTGGGAGCGGGGTGCCCTGCGGTGACCTCAGGAGGATGCTGTGCCCGGGTTAATTTGTCCTGCTCGCCGCCTGCTCGCTGGTTTGCTCACGAGCTCGGGTTTGTCTGCCCTGCCCGGCGTTGTGCACCAGCTCGACACAAATTTAGTGCCTGAGCTAGATTCAAAGAAGGAAAGTTAATTCCTGCCTCAGCGGCCTTAATGCGGCCCTTGTCCTGCTGGCTTCAGAGGAACCGCTCAGCTCCGTGCGAGGCTGCTAGCTCCCGGCACTGCGCTGCCGGGACGCGTGGTTTCGCGCAAGGCAGGCGAAGCACGGGATGCCGGGAGGGCAGCGGCAGGCAGGTAGGAGGAGATGGTAGGGTAGCAGGGGGTCAAACTTGGCATTGGTGCGCTCACTTAAAAGCAGAAGACGTCTGAGCTGAATTTGAGATTAGGAATAAATTACATCGGGGGGATGGATTTGGATGGATCTGGCTCTTGACTCTGCAAGCCCTGGGTTCAGCCTGCTGAAGCTTAAAATAATCCAAATGTATGAGGTATTTTACACATCTTGTATGTCTCTGTGTGTTTGCATTCAAGTCCAGGGTCAGGAGCCCAAGGCTTGAGGCAACATCCAGCTTTGCACCGCTGACAAATGAAGCGTTTGCTCTTGACCAACCAGAATGTCAGATAAAAGTCTTTTTCATCTCCCTTTGCTTCTCTCTTCCTTTTTTTTTTTTCTTTTTTTTTTGGAAGCCCTAATGGGTCTCTTTAATGATGAAACTGCTACTATATAATATGTCTTTTTATATTTCAATTTTCTTTTCCCCCTCTTGGGATAATTTACAGCACAGTGTGGAATCTGAGACAGTTCAAGCTGTGCCAAAGGGCCTGGCAACAGGAAGAAATGCTGAGCCACTGTGATTTGGAACCATAATACAAGTTATAAAATTTAATTTTAGAAATGCAGCTACTGGGAACTGCTTTTAAATGCACATTTTCCTTTTAGTGCATAAAACGGTCCTGTGTCTTGATTGAGCTGTTAGGGTGGCTTGAAAGAGTGCTCTGTAGAGTAAGGGGCATACAGAGCTCTTCAGAGATCTTTTGCTGCTTATTCACTGATACTCAAAATTGGAAGCTGGATGTTTATGCATGTTTATGTATTAAATACTACGAGGACGTGTGGAATAGGGCACGGTGGATTATTTTCAGGAGTTTTGTGCCAGTCTGTTTCACTGCTGTAGCCATGAGTTGAGAGAGGACTCACCATAGGAACAGCATTGGCCATTGGTACAAAGAAAGCTGCAGAAGGCAACTCTTCATGGCAACAGAATGAAAATTGGAGCAGATAGATAGACAGCAAACTATGGTGTTCAGCAAAAACCAAGGGTAATGCCACCTTCTTCAAGGGAACAAGTAGAAAAAAAAAAAAAGATGTTTGAACTCTGGGCTAGAGATTTGACGTGCATTCCCGTCAGGGTAATCGTGTCCTGTGGGAAGAAAGGGAAGGGATAAGCCACAAAGATTCATGAGGCAGCTGATTTCCTGAAACAAATGCAACGTGCAGAAATGGGATTGGGTTTGGGGGAAAAGGAGGGATGATGACATTCACTGCTCCACAAGAAGGTCCCCAAGCAGAAGGTATGAAAATGACATTTTTGGATCTGGGTATCCTATTCCATTGACTAAATATGGATGGGGTCAGGGTATGTCCTCATAGACTCATTGCAGTCAGTATCTTACCCTACATTTGGAGACAGCATATTTGAAAGGACAACTTGTGTGCCAGAGACAGTCTGCTTTTGGGCTTTCTGCTGAAGGACTCCTTTCTGTGGACTTTAAGAAGAAAAATCCCTGTTGGGGGATGGGGGGAAATTACAAAGGAAAGTTTTGATTCCATCTGGTTGGGAACATGGCTGAACCATCCCATTTCAGACATTTCACCAAATACAAGTCTTCTAGGGAGGTTTCTGTTTCAGTCCCAAAGTGTGGTGTCAGCAGCCTTCCAGGATAAGATACCCCACTTTTGAAGGATATCTCATAAGACTGGAAACCAATGGACACAAAAATAGTTTGCAAAGTTGTTAGCTCTTAAGAGGGTGGGAAAAGGATTTTTAATTTGTGCTTTCATCATGCCTACCAGAGAGCAAGTGCTCCAGCAGACAAGACATTCCTCTTGTATGCTCTGTGTGCAGTCTTTGTGGTTACAGGTTGACACACAAAGGATCCGAGCGCAGAGAGCAGCCGCAGGCAACAGTTAGAAATGCATTACCTTAGTCCTTGCGTACCGCTCGCTGCTGCTAAGGCTTATCTTGAAACCAGTCCTGCCCGTGATGAGATATGTGTCTGCCCTTCCAGCTGAATCTGGACGTGCCCCGATGCTGCGCTGGAGCTGGGCATCTCCAGCACCTTCCCTGTCCCCTCCCAGCCCCTCAGGGCCGCAGCACCAGAACTTCACGGCGACGGTGCTCCAAGGGCTGCCCTGGGGAGTGCTGGACCCTCTAACTCCCATGTGGCCATGACCAAGTCCGCTGTGCACTGGCCGATGCTGTAATGTCAGCATCTGCTCTCTTATAGTCAGATATCTGGTGAGACCTCCTGTTTCTGAAGCTCCCGATGCCACTAAGAGAGATTTTAATTAGCCCGCAGTTTCAATTTTGCCAGCTTCTGGTGTTTCTTTCCTAATTCGATCTGTAAATCCATTGCATAAGGATCCAAAAATGGGATTTGTTTGGGTTTGTTATTTTATAGCCCTATAGCACTTGTCTAATTAGAGTACCTTATGACAATCTGGGATTCAATTTTTGAGGAGTTATTCCAGTGCAGGTTTAGCACAGGGGCCGCTCAATGTTTCCTCCTTTTCTGCCTCCCTGCCGACAGCCCTCCCTTCAGAAGCACCTCCTCTCCCAGCGCGAGGTGTGAGGCAGCACTGCAATTGCCAGTGGATCTGGTTCTTCAGACTAGGCCACGTCTCAGGCTGCCCCACAATGCGGTTACAATGCATGACTTGCTTGTGTCTCCTCTTCCTGCAGAGAGGTGGTTTCAGTTTAATTTCAGACGGCCGCTAGCTGATTAGGCACTTTGCCAGTAGATGAGGGGTTAAAAAAAAAAAAAAAAGAAAAAAATTTTTTTTAAAAAAAGAAAATAAGTCAACAGACCTCATGTATCAGTGAGATTTTCTGATCTTTTTCCCCCCCCTCCCACAATAGGACATCGTCAGAAAATAGATGAGCAGACAAAGCCCGGGAGCTTGTCCTTTTCAGAGCGCCTGAGTGAACTGGAGCAGTTGCGTCGTACGGCCATGAGGGTCAGCCCACACCACCCAGCCCCCACACCCAACCCACGAGCCTCCTTGAACCACACCACTGCTTTTAACCCTCAGCCTCAGAGTCAGATTCAGGGTAAGTACCTGAAATCCTCCCCCCGCTCGCCCACCTCCACCCCGCCAGCCTGCGGAGCGTGGGGGCTCACAGGCGCTGCCCCCTCATCCCTCCATCTCTTCCGGACTCTCCTTGGCCACCTTTAAGGAGCGAGAGCCTTTAATGAGCGAAAGGAGGGGCTTCCTAACATATGTCTGTATTTCTAAAGACTTGACAGATTTTAAGGGGTCTGTACTGTCTCGTCTTCCCAGTGTCAGTACAGCTCACCTATGCTAGAACTGTGACATCTTGAAAGTCGTTGTTTTCCTGCAAAGATGCATTATGCCAGGGCTTTTTCTATGTGCAGGTGTACATTCATAAATCACGTTGTGTGCTTGAATGAGAGAGAAATACCGTCAGCACCTCGCTTTGACATTTCCCAGGAAGGCAGTAACGAAGAAAGCCTTGGCAAAGTGCTTTGTCCCCTGAAGACAACCTCTTAGTGCTAAGACGTTAATACGGGCAGGCTGGTTTGAGTGTTTTTCTGTGGTTGGTGGTTATCCAGTGGGTTTTATTTGAACGAAAACGTGCAAAACGGTGACTCAGGAGCCTGATTGCCTCTGAGGCTCAGACTCGGATGATGCCAATGAAACTAAGTCATCTAGCTTGACATCTTGTTTACCACTGCTAGAGAGGAGCCTGTCCCTGCTAAAACAAACTCTGTCCCTGGGATCGGCTGGGACTGGGTGAGCAGTGAATCAGGTCGCTAAACCGTCAGCTGATACGTGTTCTGCAAAACGCGTACCAAAATGCAGATTCATAGTGAGATGTACCTAATGCAGTTTTCCTCTAATCTTCCAGGCAGAATGAAACGGCCTTAGTCGAGGTTCTCTGCTGGGGTTTCGGGGACAAATAGTTACCGTGAATTGGAATAAGTTCTTTTTTTGGCATTTATTTTTAAAACCAGGGTACTCTCTGTTGCATGCAGAAAAGGTTATCGCTTACCTAAGGCAAACAGTTGTTGCATCATTTTATTCCTAGGGTTAGGGAGGTCTTTGACTTAGTGAAATCTACTGCAAATCTGCCGTTGGCTTCGCTGTGAGCAGAAGCAGGCATTTTTGAGAAGCATGGGAAATAAATCAACACATTGCCACGGGCCGTGCTGTAGACAGAGGTGGGCAAAAAAGACAGTTGGAAGGACCACACAGCTCCTTCCCTCCCTGGAGCCATGCCAGGTCAGCTCAGGCAAAGGATCCAGCCCTGCACCTCTCCCAGTCCCTGGCAGTCCCCTCACGTAGTTTTTCTGATTTGCAGAGCAAACCACGTTGGGTTTCTCCTGCGCACAGCTCTGTTCCTATAAAAGAAAACGCACGTATTATCATGGCTACTCAGCAGCCAGCGGCTACTTGGGTGGAGGTATTGGTCGCAGACTTGCATTCTTCAGCTTCTTGGGAACACTATATGCTTATCAGAGTATCGAGTTTAACGTCAAGTATCCCTCTTCCCTGGTTCCATGTGAAAGTCCCTCGCTTGTACTACTTCAGAGCAATAGGCTTTTCACGCTCGGCTGGGGACTCAGCTGCTCTCTCCAGAAATAGTTTTAGGACGTTGCTCTGCTTTACTCTTTGCAAACAAGATTTTAATGCATTTCACCTGCGGACGTAGCTCAGAAAATGATAGCAATCAAACTGCTCATGTTTCCTTATTGATATCCTCCACCTATCGGGCTGCTTTCTCCCGGTTCCCCTTCCCCTCTGCCTCTGAAATGTGCGCGTTATCCATTGAGCAACTTGTTGAGGCTTGCAGTCACTATCAGTAAAATAAGCCCCAAACCTAAGCCTCCCTCATTCGGGACTGTCTCTGCTGCAGGCGCCTTTTAATTTCTAGGGCTCGTCTTTTCAGGGTCATGCTATCACAGAGGCGGAAAAGAGCTAGGGTGGGAAGGAGCTCCAGCACCATCATTTTGTCCTCGGTGTTTAAAGTATGATTGGTTTTTGGCTGATCTCCTGCATGACCTCTAGGGAGTTGGGATATGTATTTTTTTCCCTATTTTTAATACACAGCGCTACATTTCAGAGCACAGGCCTCCAAAACCAAAACGCGTCCAACCTGCTCCATAGTATTGCTATACTTATCTGCACATCTTTGCATCCTGAAACACTTCTGTTGAAGCTCTCTTACTGAAGAGAGTGTGGAGTGCTTTCTATGTAGGCAAAAAATAAGGCATAAAATCCCATACATCGCTAACTTCCAAGTAGTAGCATTAAACTAGACTTTAAGTCACACCAGTATGAATCACGGGCTACTTCTCTATTCATCCAAGTCCAATTATCTTTTTTTAAACAACAAAACTAACTCAAAATAGACATCTCAGACTAGTTCTTGGATTTAAAGGGGCAGGTTGCCATGCCACTAAATCACTGTTTATTTGTTGAGGTTTTAATCTATAAAAGGATTGAGGTTAATTTTAACTTCCTATTTTACCAAGTCTTGAATTTGAGCATAAAGCTGCTTGTGTCATGGATACAAGTCCAAGCAAGTTAAGAGACCATAAATTGCTATAATCGAGTTTTATGCTTCTTTCATATCACAAGGAGGGAGAAAGTACACCTGTTCATTTAAAAGATCTAACCATAGCCAATTCACAGACCAAAGGGGAACAGAAAAGGGAGAAAAATCTTCCGCCACATCACACATGGTTTAAGTTGAAAGATTACTTTGTGCCAGTACCAAGCGTATAATGTCAAAGGGTTTGACCTACACTCACAGAGTAAGGATATTCAGTTAAAGCTCCAAACCTGACCAACGCTTCAACCTTAACTCACCCCTTCCTGTGGATAGAGGGGAAAAGAAAATAGACAAAGCCACGTGAGCTGTGCTGGGGTGTTGTTTAGGAAAGTTTAGGTAAGATCCTTGACAAGCATTTAAGTTTATATATATAATGACTATAAATATATCTATCTATATATTACAGTTGAGTTCCTTCTAGCACCAGCCTGAGCCAGATACTAAATACATAATTACTAATTTTACAGTGGTTAATGTTAACCAGAGGAGGTAGATCTGTAATTCAAGAGTTTTACAGAAATATGAATTTATATGGTTCCTGTTTTACGGTATAATTTTTTTCAGGGTCAACAGAAATATTTTCAATGTGTAAGTCATCAGACCAAGAAGGTATTCTTTTAGAAGCATTAATGTTGAGTTAATAAATTGCATAAATAAATTTCTAACTAGTAGGGTTAGGAATATCATCCAAAAACATGTGCACTTAAATAACTTCAATATTTTTTCCCCCAAATTAGCCCAAACAATGTTTCCAACTGGTGACTTATTAATTAGCCACAGGTTAAAAAAAAAATAAAATAAAAAAAAGCAGCTATTTCTCCTGTCTAGGGAAAACAAATAATCATTGTAATTACTTTAAGCTACATGCTTCTGGTTCTTTTTACGCTTTTATAGCCTTAAAAATACCTGAGTTTGCTCACTTGCTTTTTTTTTGGCCTCTTTTTTTAAATTTTGAAACCTTATATGTTAAGTTTCAGCTGGGACCACACTTTTATGACCAAGTCTAAAACCCCTAGAAACAAGAGTCTGTAATAAAATTGCTGACAGATTTTTAAGCGAAGCAGCAGAATTAGCACCGACAGCAACGCCAGAGAGATCATTTAAAGACCAGCTCTTTGAATTAGCAAGAAACATAATGACCGAGAGATTATTTTGTTACAAGCCAGCCTTTTGTCTTCCTCCAGGTGCAATATGCTTTGTTTAAGAGACATTTCAAGGTCCTTGCTATCGTAATCTCATTCCACCAAAAACAGCCCAAGTTTATCAGGGTTCCCATGAACCGGTGAAACACAGGAGTAGAGTCAAGGGCGGCGTTTAAGCCCGGGGAATTAAAATGGCTTTGTTCCTACTATGGCCATATCCTGCCCCCATTTTTAATATTCCCACTTTTAAATCAGCTTAATAGGCCGTAGGTTAATAGACTGAGAAGTGTTCGCAGAGCAGCGTTTCAGAGCCGGCTTCGAAGGGGCTGTCCTTCTGCCTCCGCTGTTTGCTGCTGCAAAGTGCAGTTTTCAGGCACTTTTGAGAATCCAGATTGACGTGCTTGTAGCTCCCTGCAAAAACAGACCAACAGGCTGTCAACATCAGGGACCCGCCAACTATTTCCATTGTGCAATACGCTAAATGCCAGTATTGTTATGTTCTCTATGGACACGTCTGCATCTCCCCATCTTTCCTTAACCCAGCGCACTTGCGGAGCGAGTCCATGGTGCTTTAACGGCGTATCATCCTGTTTCTACTCGATTAACCACCTGACCTCTCCATCCCAAAATACACTCCCCGGCACGTCGAGCGAGTGCCGCCTGAGCTTGGCACCCTTCCTATCGGCACCGCTCCTGCCTCCCCCGGGCTGGCGGAGGAGCAGGGGCTGAGTCGCGCCAGCGTGTCGGCCGGCAGCAC